TTTTTACCGTACTTCTGATGCGGTTCTTCTAGACTCTATTTTAGCTTATCATGCACTTTTCACAAGTGATACTGTAAACCAGTTGCTGCTCAGTGGTGCCTGAGGAATTCCAACTGAGATTTCACCTGCAGATTATTTTCAGAATGCTGTGCACAATTTTGATTGAAACGACGGGCCCGGGATATGATTGCTTTTAGCTTCCTCACCGTAGGGGTGTATTTAGCACAGTGAATAAGATTACTCAATCAAAGAACTCGATAATCAAACAAAAGCGTACACAAGCAGCACCTCATTTATTGGAATCAACACGCAAACTGACTTCTAAAATCGTTTTTCGTCCATACGCGTAACCCCAATGGAACAACTTTTGGAAAAAAACAATGATGTTATCGTTCAATCATTGCTTTTCAATTCAAACTCGCCCCCCATTAGAGAACTTCTTATGCGCCGGTCAGGGCAAATTTTAAACTCACAAAGAGACTTCACGTCCAACAAAACAGGCATCTGTCGTAGACATAGATTCGTTTTAATTTAACCTTTCAAGTTTTCACCTTATTCACATCTCTCCAGACTTTCAAAAATGTCTCTAAACATTTGATAGTGACCCGTTTGTTTCCTAATCATTAAAACTGGACAGAACCAAAGACAAAACCGTTTGTTCTACTTTCCTGTTACAGGTCATGGCCTTAAGTGTTTTAGATGCAATGGTAAAGAGGCCGACTGCACCAAGAAAATATTTGAAGGAAACAAAACAAAATACGTAGAGAACTGTTCCACTGGTCAGGATACGTGCATGAGGACCTGGATCCAAAAGGAGGATGATGACAACAGCTACGTCTCCAACATGTGCATGGAAAAGCAAGACTGTGAGGATTTAGAAAAGAAGTGTGAGGATAAGGAGCTGAAAGATGAAAATGACAAACCGTTGAAGTGTGCCGTCGCCTGCTGTAGCACAGACGAATGCAATGGCAGCTCCGAAGTCTACTTCAGCGTGATCTTTTTGGCCGCCTGTTCTATCTTCGGCCTGGCACTGATAAAGTGAAGTAGAAGGCAAGGCGCTTTTAAAGCAACTCCATTGGTAGTATCCTATACGTACACATCAGGTGCAAGTTTTTTAGTAGTCTATCACAAAATTTTGAAGGCATCATTCAAAACTGTCAGGTTGTCTTAATAAAGCTTTTGATTCTGCACAGAAAATACTCCGTGTGAAATTTTCTATTGGCTTTGCGATTAAAGAATGCCAGCATTCAAACTTCATCTATTTAACGAATAGAGAAACATTGACTGTGCTCTGTTCTGTTGTAAAGCATGCAGGAAGCGGCTAGAGCAAGAAAGAATTGTAGGGAGAAACACGAGACGTAGTCGAATGTTTCTTCCCACTTCTTGAGTGCTCTAGCCGCTTCCTGCGTGCTTTATAACATAACAGGGCACAGCCAAGACTTCTCTATTTCTTTTATAATAAAGAATTCGTTAAATTCCCCGCGCATTACTTTCAATTTCAAAACAAATTTTTTTTCCAAACCGAACAACAGAGTCGTCAGTTTGCTCTATACTCTCATAAAGCACGCTACAATAAGCCAATCAGAATCCTTGTTAGAATGCTTCAAATGATCTTATTGGTTGAAGAAGACTAAAGCTGTCATAGTCAAACCATCAAAGTTCACAATCTGCGATAAATCACAAACTGAAATAGTTTGGCTGGTAGAATTTAACACATTTGCTTGACTCAGGAAGTTTCTTTATAGTTTTAATACAGAATCTGAAAGTGGAATGTCCAGTGAATTGTGGCTCGTAAAAACACGCAAGTTTTTTCACATGATAAATAATCTACTAAAGGCGTTTGTTTTATGAATGAACTACGGCTGAATTCACGGGAACATTAAGATTTATCGGAATGACAGCGCCGTCCGGGAGAGAGAGAGAGAGAGAGGTCCGGGAAATGGTCGGACATAAGTTTAAATTGGTGGATGACGTGACAGCTTTAGCTCAGCTCCGTGTTTTGTACTCTGATAGAGCACGCTCTTTCAACCAATGGCAGCGCGTGTTACATGCGAACTTTATTATGATAACAATTAACAAGGCTGGAATTCTGGTTCCGCCCAGACTCCTTTTGAAAGATCGAATTTAGCTGAGTTTTCATTGGCTTAACTGAACGAGTTTCTCTTGACTGGATGCTTAATCTTCTGAGTGAGAAACACGGAAGACACCATTTACGCAGTAATTTAAAAAAGGAAATATTTTTCCCAAGCACCCTGTCAGTAATTTAGAGCCATTTTCAAAAACGTATGAATAAAATTGTTTCGTTAATGTAATTTTTGATTGCCTCTACTTCGTTAGGATTTTAATAAGATTGCTTGGTTTATGGAATTTTTGATTCCTTAATTTGTGTTGCAGCCGCTGCCGGTGATACAACGCAAAAAGCACTTTTTCTCCAGTCTCAGGCCTAGTCGAGTGCGTGCTACACACTACTTTAGTTGCCACCACTTAGTAACAGTTAATTAGCAAGGAACCCCTGTTTAGAACAAGGAACGATCTTGACAGAGGCACTTATATTTAATTTTGATTGCGTGGGAGAAGCATTTTAAAAAAACACAACAAAAATCATTGTACTCTGAAAAATTTGCCTGCCGGTTTAGAGGGTAAAATTGACTGAGATTGTTGTCGCTTCACACGCGAAGGGTAAACCCACCTTTTCAACGAATTCCGGTCGTTAGATATACGTTTTCTCCTACCATTGTCTTTCATGATACAACTGGAAATAAATAATTGTTGTAAAACAGCGAATTACCT